TTAAGCAKAACTATTATTACTACTTGATACTGAGGATTGAACCCAGAAGCTCTTTGCCACTGGGCTACATCCCCAGCACCTCCCACTCTCACCTTTTAAATGTTTAGGTGCTCTCTAAGTTGCTGAGGCTTCCTCTAACTTGCCATCCCCCTGCCTCAGCTTCCCGAGTTGCTGAGATTGCAGGCATGCAGCACCATGCGCCAAGGAGGATATTTTTAAGTGGTCTTTTACACCTCGAGTAGTTTTCTCTGTGGCCATTTTATCTGGTGGTTTGTCCTGTTCTGTCTCCCTCAGGTTGACCAGGTGACCCTTGGTTGCCTATGCCCATTTAAACTTTTTTTTTTTTTTTTTTTAAAGAAAGAGTGAGAGAGGAGAGAGAGAGAGAATTTTTTTTTTTTAATTTTTTTTTTTTAGTTCTCGGCGGACACAATATCTTTGTTGGTATGTGGTGCTGAGGATCGAACCCGGGTCGCACGCATACCAGGCGAGCGCGCTACCACTTGAGCCACATCCCCAGCCCCCATTTAAACTTAAAGCAGTTAAAAGTCACCAGAAGCTTCACGTCTGAAGTTGTTCTAGATGTTTCTGAACCTTTTGCAGCTAGAAGGTCCAGGTTTTTAGCTGGGAATGGTGCAGTTTTTAGAGAGGAGTTAGCAGTCTTGCTCCCCAGCCACACATTAAATCTTTGCCTGTTGTGGGGGAGGGGTGGGTTTTGCTCTCACAGCCTGACCCTCATTTCCAGGGCCAGGGCCTTCCCCCTCTCTACTCCCCTTTTAGATTGTTCTATCATCCTGTCCTTTGCCACCCGCTCCGCTTCCTTTCACTTGTTGAGATCTCTCTTCCCCCTAGAGGCCCCTCCCTGCCATTCTGCTCATTTGGTAGGTTTATGCCCATTTTTATGCTCTTCTGGAGTGTTAGTGGTGTCATGGAGGACAGGGGAGTCTGGGGCAAGCCCRTCTTTAAAGTAAAGGTGATCTCTGTACGTGTAAAGCAATCTATAAACTGTTTTTTTTTTTAAATCAATTAATTTATTTTTTTAAGTTTTCGGCGGACACAACATCTTTGTTKGTRTGTGGTACTGAGGATCGAACCAGGGCCGCATGCATGCCAGGCGAGCGCGCTACCGCTTGAGCCACATCCCCAGCCCTATAAATTGTTTTTATGCATATGATTCCATTTGAACTCTCTGGCAACCTTTGGGATGGGCAGGGCAGAGGCGATGATATCCATCCTACAGATGATTAAATGACTTGCCCAGGTCACTTTGCAAGTTGGGGGTGGAGCCAAGATTTGAGGCTGGGTGCTCAGGGTGCAGCAACGGCACTGGAGGCCCAGGGAATGGGGCCTGGAGGTTGCTCACGGTTGAGCTCAGGACCTTGGCCTGGAGCGTTGGCAGGGCTGTTTCCACCAGGTGATGGAAGCAGTGGCCGTGCAAGGTGCTGCTCCAGGGGCCTGTGTGTTGGAAGGGGAGCCATGGGGGAGCCAGGGTGCTACAGAGTAGTGGCACCTCTTCTCCTGCGAGCTTCTGAGTGGGGAGAGCTGCTGCAGGAGTTGGGAAGCCGGAAGGAAGCTCTCCTGCCTTCCATCTGGATGTGAGGGGCGCCTTCCAGGGCTGAATGCCAAGAGGGTTCCGGCCAGAGCCTTGCACTCCCTCTTCTCTGCCTGGGTACACTCTCCCCAGATATTCCCTGTATCATTTCAGTCTCTGTGCAAGGGGAAAGCCTCCCGATCAACCCACTGAAACAGCCACTTCCCTCTGTCTTCACCCTACTGCACAGCGCTTACTGCTTCCAGGTGAGCCGTTATAAATTTGCTTCCCTTTGGCCTCCACTCTGGTCTGTAGGATTCTGAAAGCAGGGAGTTGTTTTGGTCACGACTGTATTTCTAGTTTGTGTCACCTAGAGTTGTCCAATAAATAGTTAGGGAACTTGGTTTGGACTCAGTCTTATGGATCCATTCATTCATTTGTTGAAATATTCAATAAATATTCTCCAGGCACCTGCTCTGTGCTTTGGCACTGGAGTGACAGTGGTGAACCGAGGCATGGRCCCTGTATTCTTGGTTATTTGCTGTCATGGGAACAATCAGAAGTGAGTAAGGACAGGTTGTGGGTTTTGCAAAAATACAAAGTACAGAGGGCCAAGGCAGGCAGCTGAACAGTCATAATAACTTACACCCCTGGTGCTTGCTGTGTCCGGCACTGGGCCTCATCCTTTATTGTGTCATCTTATTTAGTCATTTAAAAACCCATGARGGCAAGAGACTATTATTATGCTCATTTTATAGATGAGAAAACTGAGCTCAGAGAAGTTAAATAACCTGCCAGACCTCCAATAGTTAGGAGGTGTCTCAACTGCGTCCCTGTGGTTCCAAACCCATGTAGTCACCATCCTCTGTGACTTTTCCTGCGACCACCCCTCCCCTACCAGCCATGCATCCTCCCTTTGGTGAGGCTTGACCTGACTGGGAACAACTGTCACCCCTTCCAAGTAAACTCAGGGACACACCTGCAGAACGAACCTTGCCTGGGTTTCGTGTGTGTGTGTGTGTGTGTGTGTGTGTGTGTGTGTATGTGTGTGTATGTGTGTGTGTGTGTGTGTGTGTGTTTTAAATTATAGTTAAGTGGGTATCTGCCTTTTGGGGACTCATGATCCCTTCGGGAAGCTGATGGAGGCTGAATTCTCCCTAGAATATGCCCCAGGTGGATGGACATGGGCTTTGCCTATAACCTAGGGAGCCTGTGGACTCCCTCAAGCCCTTCAGGAGACTGTGGGGGTAAGAACTACAGTTGTAGGGTTTTCTTGGGAACTTTCRGCTCCTGGATCACTTCCTCATTTGTGATCAAACCAGAATGGCTTCCTTTAAGGGGCTCCTTCTGCACGAGGGCCCAAGTCCAGCCAGCTTCCAAAAGCCCCGAACTAGGTGGCCCTGGACGTACCCCACGCCTAGCCTTTGGTTGGGGATGGTGTACAATCAAGAGAGAGAGAAGTCTTGGTATTGCTTTTAATGAGTGTAGGGCCTGCCTTGCATTTCCAGTGTTTCTGTAGAATTCCATTCTTAGAAACAGCTCAATAATAAAAGGATCCTATGATCCAGTAACTCCAGGAGATGATATGCATGAGATTCCTTTATTAAAGGGTCTGAGAAGTCTTGCAGTAAAGCRTTGAACTTTATTTAAATACTCAATGTTCCCAATATATTTGWCCATAGGTTCCCCCTCTTTAAAAAAATTGGTTAAACATGTGCAAATGCCATCTTTGTAGCACTTTCATGTAGTTCAGCTAATATACCTTGTGATACCACATTGAAGTAGCAGTCCATGGAACACCCTTGGGAAAACACAAATGTCATCATACATATTTTTGTCTTTCTCCTTTGCTCCTCACTTTTTCCTCCACYCCCCAAAGAGCTAACAGTATAAGAAAATGCATAAAAGTGCCAACCAAGTGGTAATAGTAAAAACAATCTCTTAGTAGGCAGCCCAGGGTTATGGTAGCCCCATTTTACTATGAGGAGACTGAGGCTCAGAAATGATTTTTCTGTGGTGACACAGGATCCAAGGAACAACTTCTTGAGTGCAATGGGGATACGTAACCAAGGATAGGGAAGTTGACAGAGACACTGAGCACGTATATTAGAGAAAGGGTGTGAGACATGGCATGTGGCCTTCAAGGTTAGGCACTCTCTGAAAAGTAGACGGGAGATGGTGGCCATTGGRGTCAACGTATATAAGGGTCTCAGTGATCACTTGGTGTTTGTAGGAATTTGTATCTTTGATTTATKCATTCACTCAACAATCTTTATCAAGTGTCTATATTTTGCTAGGCATGCYTCTGGAAGCTGGAGAATACAGTACTGAAACTCAACGCATAATTACAAATATGCAAATGTAAATTGATAATTTAAGTAATAATTCTTTTGTGAGTTTCAAAGGGAAAATCACACATGATTGAAATGTTCCCTTTTCTGTGAGTGCCTGAGAACAATGCTCAGATATTTAAAAATCAGTAAGCATAACGCCTGGCAGAAGGTCTTTCAGAGAAAGGGGGCACACCCCCAGTTTCTCACCTCTTTTGTATGYCACTGGGCAGTTGTGATCTGACCTGGGACAGGAGGATGAGAAGGGTGTGCCACGGTCCTGAGTCTCCTGTGGGCTGTGCACAGTGTGAGGCTTGACGGGAGCCCTGCTAGAGAACTGATGTCTCCCCTTCATAGCCCTGAGTTGGGTGTGGTGGCACATGACTGTAATTCCAGCAACTCCAGAGGCTGAGTCAGGAGAATTGCAAATTCAAGGCCAGTCTCAGCAACTTAGAAAGACCCTCTCTCAAAATGAATAATCACAAAGGCTGGGGATGGAGCTCAGTGGGAAAGTACTCCTGGGTTCAATTCCCAGTAAAACAACAACAACAACAACAACAAAAAACAACCAATATTTCCTGAGAGCGCTGTGCAGACCTGAGGGACAAGGAATAATGGCTTGTTGGAATCAGGTGTGGAAAGACATGCAGACCCAGAATGACCATCACAGGGCCCCGTGGGGAAAGCCCCAATGCAGGGAGAGTCCATCAAGAACGTTAGTGTGGTTTTTTGTGGGTAGATGGGCGGGGTGGGGGGGGCGGTGGTGCTGACAGCTTTGGGACTGGCTAGGTTGGATGACTGTGGCAGGCTCTGAGGCTTAAGGATTGCCACTGGTTGACTGATAGCTAGCCCTGAAGGGATTATGGCAGGGGACAGCAGCTCTCTGAATAGGAGGTGACTGCACTGCTCAGTTTACACATGGAAGGCACGTGGCTGGGACTTGGCTGCTGTCTTCAGGAATTAGCAAGGCTCCAGACGCCTGAGCACCAAGAACACAGAAAATAAAAAATACATATATATACTTATTTTCAAAGCACCAGTCCAGGATTTTGCACAGGGGAACAGGAAGGGGGCATTTTTGGAAAGATGACACTTGGTCCAGTCTGGCCCTTTTACCTGCTCTCTGTCCTCCACTCCCAAAGGGTGAAGCAGTCGGAGCTGTTCGACAGGTGGAAGAGCCTCCAGATGTGCAAGTGGGCCATGAACATCTCCGAAGCCAACCAGTTCAAGTACCTACCGTCCGTCGTCCCCCCTCTCCTGGTGTGGCCACACTGTCCCTCTCACTGCCACCTCTTCAGAGTCCCGCTGTCCTGCAAGGCCCAGCTCTGGGAGGCCATCTGCCCTGGAGCCAGCCCTGACTGGCTTGGGAGTGTGGGCAGTGGCAAGGTTCCCAGGCCACAGAGGGCAAGGCGGGCAGCCAAACAGCTGCTGTCCCCATCTCTCTCCCGAAGTCCTTGTAGTGGTTCTGCAAGGTCACTGCTGTCACATGCAGAACACAGTGGGGGTGAACTGAGGTGCCTAGTAGGGGGGGCAATCCTTGCTTGAGGCCTCCCCAGGCCTCTGCAGCCTCACCAACCTGGCCTCCCTCTCTGGGACAGTGCCTCCGACACAACAGCCTCCCCTCTTCTCAGAGCCTGCGTTCTGAGAGCCTCGCCAGACGCCTGAGCCTGGCTGTAGATTATCTCCTAATTGCTCTCCAACCACAATGAACAGATTACAAACTCCCAGAGAGACAGAAGCTGTCTTAACATCCTGCTGTGGGTGGCAAGCAGATGGAAGACATCCAAAAATTCTTTTCATTAGTGCAAGTGCCCGGGTGCCGCGAGTGTATGGTATTGTGGCGGTGCAGGTAGACCCGAGGCTGCGGAATTGATACGACCCTGGTAACCCGGATGTAAGCTAGATTTCCACATCAGGTGCAAGTTGAAATGTGCAGGGAGCTTCAGCATGAAGGAATCCTATCCCAGAGCTTGGGAAGAGGGAATGTTACTGAGAATTCTGTATTCTCTTTATAAATCCTTTATTCCAGTTTGTGGCCATTCCAGGCCAAGTCTAGAGGTAGAATAGTCGTTTTAAGTAGCACATTTTTAGAAGTGTGAATGTCTGAAGTGATGAGCCCTGAAGAGCAGRTGCTAGCGGCCTTTGTGAGATGCCAAAAACCCTGTTCAGGCCCAAAGTAGTTTGCAGAGGTCCACCTTCCCTCAAAGCCGACTGTGAACCTCAGCACTGTGCTGGAGGAGTGGTACGGTGCCAGGGCTGTGCTGTAGTCTGCCCCTCAGAGGGTCACTGTGTGCTGCCCAGATCAATGCCCCTGGAGTGAGAAAGGCCTGGGCCCTCGCAGGGTGGCCGTAGAGCACAGCACAGGGGCAGTCAGTGAGACGACCGTTGTCTAGGCCGAGAGGCTCATCAGTGGGATTCACAAGCCTAAGGAAATAGTGAAGCAACTGGAAAATGACAAGGGAAACACAGGGGTTGCATGGGAACCCATGGCAGGGATCACAGAGCACTACCCAGGACAGCTGAGACCTTCCAGGGAGGAGGGATGTGGAAAGGGAGGTGTCATCAGGCCTTGGGGTGCTCTGAGTAGAAAAACCTCAAGGTTGTCCAGTGGCCTCCCTCTGCTCTCGTCTCAAGCTCCTGGAACGATGATGAGATTCTTCATGCAGGTTGTAGGAACCCGGTGCAGGACGGGAGGGAGGCCTGAGCTGCAGGAAGGAGCTCTGTAACTGAGTCCTGCTCCTCTCCTGAGGCCTACAAATAGACACTGGCATTTTGGTTCGTATGTCTGTTGCTTGTAAGTTTGAATAGTATGAGTCGATTTCCCCAATGAGGGTACTCAAGATGGAGTTCTGCACCAGTCAAGCTTAGGGACAGATGCTGGTTTGTAGAGCTGACCTGTGACATGCCCTGCCAGGCTTGTAGCCTCCCCTCTGGAAGCCTTGGTAACTTTCTGAAACCTACCTCTCCATAGGAAAGGCCACTGTCTGTGACTAGCAGCCAGCTGGGCTCTCAGTGAAGTCCCTGCAAGAGACATAATCATAAAAAAAAAAAAAAATTATCCCATAACTTTCCCAGCTTTGGCAAGCTGGAGTCACAGAATCACAGGGGTCAGAGTGGAAGAGCCAATTCTGCATGTCGCCTATGAGGAAACAGGCCCGGGGCGGGGGGGGCGGGAAGTGACCTGCCTGGAGCCTCACAGTCAGCAGTGGGAGAACAGACACTAGAATCCAGGCCCCTTGTCACCAGGATGGTGACCCAAGTTTCCATCCCAGAACTTGGGCTTTCAGAAATCTCCTCCTGGTTCCTCATTARTGGTCATTGCAGGGCTCCGTGGGGAAGGTGCCCCTCTCCAGGGCTGCCTGGATGCTGGTGTCCCTGGAGGCAGCCAGCATGTGCTCAGCCTGATGCTGCTGCTTTTGGGAGAAGTGGGCCTCATGGGCCCAGATCCCTGACTTGAGGGGGCAAYGGTCTGTGCCCTTATTCAAGTCTAGCACCCTCTGTATTCAAAGTTTCACATCTCCAGGGCTGGGGAGCACGGTGTGCCCAGGATCTGACCCACTGAAGCAGCGTGTGGAGTCTCCTGGTGCCCCCARAATGCATTGCTGGGTGGAACACCTGGTGCAGAGTGGAGGGGAACCAGGCTCCCCTGGCCTGGCTGGTGCCTGGGCCTGCCCCACCAGCCTGTCCTACCTGCAGCTTGTTTCTRATAAAGCTGGCACCTGAGCTTGAGCCCTGTGGCTCTCATTAGTACTCCTTTTATAAAARTGACAAACCCTGACATTTTTGTTGGAACCAGCAGAATAATCCACCACCCCAGTTTCTGACCCTCCCTTTTTCCTGACTCAGTTTCTGAGTAATCGATAGCACACATTTCTATTGGCCACCAGGATCTTGGTTTGGGGAGCCCTTCAGACTACCAAAGGTGGATGCCTCATCTAGTCTGTGATGGGGGCTGAGGCCCTGAGAGGAGCTCAGGCTCCCCGGGGGTTTCAGTTCAGGCTGCACACATGTGACAGGAGTGGCCTGGCTCTGGGCAGCAGGTCTGGATGGAGGCTCCAGTGGGGAACAGCTAAGGGAGGATTGGGAGAGGGGAGCCCCTACTGTCAGTGGCTGTCACCCAAGCCCGAGAGGGACATGGTAGATGAGGTTTATGGCTCCCAGTCTGTGCGCCAGCCTTTGGKACAGTGCATTTGTGGGGACAGGGGCAGCAGGAGGCTTCATGGTGGGAGACCTGGTCTGGCTGAAAGGACAGTGCCTGGAGAGGTGTCACTGCTGGAGGGGGAGGGAGCCCCAGTGGAGGTGTGGGCAGGAGCAAGTGTGGGAATCAGGGCCGGGGAGGCTCAGCAGAGTGACCCCTGTGTCCTCGGTAGGCTGTGCTCTGCCTAGTGTCACCCTCCTGTCCTCCCACCCGGCAGGTCCACTCTGTCCAGGTGCTGCAATGCCCCAGCCTTCCTCTTCACCACCCAGAAGAACACGCCACTGGGCACGAAGCTCAAGTACGAGGTGGACACCAGTGGCATCTACCACATCAACCAGGAGATCTTCCGCATGTTTCCCAAGGTGCTCTGTGCAGGGTGCTCTGTGCAGGGTGCTCTGCGTGGGGTGAGGGAGCCTGTACTGCCGAGGCCCTCTGTGTCCATACCTGGTGATTTTGTGTGACTCATGCTCTGCCCTCTGCACCCAAGTGGCTTGTCCTGGTTGACCAGTTGCCTGGGCCCTGTAGCCTGTCTGCTGGCTTCCTTGGGGGTTCTGTCTGGACACCATGAATGCCAACTGGCTATCACCCATGTGACTTTGGCAAGAAAGTAGTGAAAATCCTGGTTATTGCATTGCTTGCCKAGGACAGACATCTGGGACAGGGATCTCATGTGCCTCCACTCCAGAGGTAGACACAGGAGTGAAAGAGACACACCAAGGCTATGAGCCCCAGAAGGCACCATCCAGGGCAAACCAGACCCTGAAACTTAGCCCATGTCAGATGACCCTGGGGTCAGTCTTTCACAACCTCAGTCTCTGTGTTTAAAAGGGGCTTGGAGTAGGCATAGATTCAGTTGCTCATTAAAGAACATCCACAATATCCTTAAACCTTTCTTTCCTTCCTTTCACATAAGGAAGTCTGGAATGGGTGGATCAGCCTGGCATGGTGGTCACAGAGTGAAGGATATACACATGTGACCTGTTCAGATCACTGAGGTTCTCTTGGGCTGACCACAGGCACCGTCCCCGGCTCCAGACTCTCATGGAAGGGATTGCTGTACTTGTCATCAGATAACAAGGGGTTTGGCCTCCGAGAGAGGCAGGTCACATGGGGCATGCGCACTACCACACTTTGGACTAATTGTGGAAATGTTGAGTGGAGCCAGGTGTGGGGGACACACACCTGTGATCTCAGGGACTAGGGAGGCTAAGGCAGAAGGATCCTAAGTTTGAGGCCAGCCTCAGCAATTTAGCAAGACTCTGTCTCAAAATAATTAAAAAAAAAATATCCGGAATGTAGCTCAGTGGTAAAGAACCCCTGGGTTCAATCTCTAGTAACCACCCCCCCCCCAAAAAAAAAGAGAAGTAATGCTGAGTGGAGGTGTGTGCAAGTCTGTCTGGATGAAGCTTGAGGKCCTAGGGGGTGTGAGTGCCACCAAGCCCAGTCTCCCTGCAGTMCTACCAGAGGCGCCAGTAAGACTCAGGTTCTGTGGAGCTCCGGCAGCAGCTGGAGGCCAGTGGTTTCTTCCCACTGAGTGGTTCCATCTCAGGGCCGGAGAGGATGGTGGTGAGCTACCTTTGCAAGGTGGGTCTTAGCCCTGGAACATGAGGCTGGTGAGGTGACCAGCGAGTGAAACACAGCCAGGCAGGGACCTGGGGAACTGGAACAGCCAGTGGTGTGACTGCAGAGGCCCAGGGAAAGAGCAGAGGTCACCGATCGTTTTCTGAAAGAGCCAGATAGCCAATGTTTTGGGCTTTGAAGGGCATATCATCTCCGTCACATCCCACATCCAAGCACTAACGCAGCTATGAATGACAAACAAAGGATGGCAGCTGTGTCCCAATAGCACAGAAATCCGAAGTGTGTATAATTTTCACATGTCTTTGATTTGTTTCCAGCCATTTAAAAATCTAGGGGCTGGTGGCATGGCTCAGAGTAGGGTCTTGGCTAGTGGGTACAGGCTCTGGGTTCCATCTCTAGCAAATATAAAATCTGTTCATAGCTTGCAAGACATACAAAACCAGGAGCTGAGCCAGATGTGGCCCAGGAGCCATAATTTTCCGGTCCCTGAATTCTAATTCAGGTGACATAGAAGGCCACTTCCCTGAAGGTAAGTATTTATTRGGGTTTGTAAAAAATCTCAGCTTCCCAGCCTCCTGTCCCTGCCCTGGACATTCTGATTCCATGATTCTTAGATGAAGCCTAGAAATGGATATTCTCAGGTAGTTCTTGATTTATAGAAGTTTGGAAAACATCCATATAAAACATAAYAAGGCTTTGATGATTTTTCCAAAGATAACCTTGGTTTTTTCCTTCCTGTGTAAAAGGTAAAGAGTGCTTTCACCGTCCTTGAGACACCTGTGCTTTTCCTGCCCTGGCCCCCTCGGGTCTGACCCTCCAGGGAAATGGGCTGCGAATACCAAGTCTCCCGCAGACGCTGCAGGTCTCTAGAGTTAGCCTAATTCCTGATGCCGCCGTAGCACTGTCATGCTCCAGGATAACCTTCTTCACAGATGTGCTAGGAAGAAGCTGCCTGCAGACTCCTGGGGGTCAGAGGTGGGAGGGCCTAGCAGTAACAGGTTGACCGCGTTTCTCATGGGCAAAGCAGAGACCCACTTTCCTCCCACATTCCCAGTAAGGCTCGCTCGTGGGGCTAAGAGATCCTAGAGGTAGAYGTGGTTGCAGAGGTGAGCACCCCAGATGAGGGCAGGGGTGACCTTGATTCTGACCGCTGTGCCTTTGCCTCCCCCAGGATATGCCCTACTACCGGTCCCAGTTTAAGAAGTGTGCGGTGGTGGGCAACGGAGGCATCCTCAAGAACAGCCGCTGCGGGAGGGAGATCAACAGCGCTGACTTTGTCTTCCGGTAAGAGAACCCCCTGGGTCTGTACCTGCTGTGGGCCCCACCACCCTCCTCCTCCGTGACACCCCACAAACTCCAGCTCCRCCTCATGCTCTGACGTTGTCCTTCAAACAATTAGCCCCCCATTCCCCAACCCTGCACACCCTCMTGCTCTGAGCTATCCTGCTTCCTCTCTCCAGCCCATCCCTTGGGGTAAGTTGTTGGACTCCCAGGTCCTCCATTTTTCAATCTGCAAAATGGGAAGCATGTAAAGAGCAAAGATCAGGCTGTGAGGCCCTGAGGACTTGTGGGCCAGGCTGATGGGCACCCACCTCCCTGCYGGTTCTACACTTCCCTGAGTACTGGTTGGAAGCTGGGCAGCCTTGTGGCTTCACCCTGGCTTTAAGCTGGACACTGGTCCTTGTGTCTCCTCTCCCTTATGCAGAATACTCCTATATCTTTGGGGAGCCTGGCTTTCCTCTTTAGCCTGGGTAGCAATGGGTTCAAAATAAGAGCTTCAAGCAAAGACCCACAGGTTGTCTGCAGGGGGATCTCAGGGGTTATGGATCCGCAATCAGGGGGCCACTCAGAGTTGGTGGCAGGSAGGGAGGCAGGGGAGGTTTGGTGTGGCTGGAAATCCTGAAATAAAGGCAGCTTTGCAAATTTTGAGTTCCTTGCAGTGCAACCCCAGCCTTCTTGTCCCTAGGAGAAGGAAGCCAAGGACACCCTGCGTCAGGCTTGGAAGTAGCATCACTAACATGRGTGGGTGGGTGACATGTGTGAGAGACACCTCCTCCTGCTGCCCTGAGTCAGCCCACACTCCCTGTGGACACCGAGAAGCCCAGAAGAAGGTTCAGAGTCCTTCAACATGGCAGCCTTCCCCGAATCCCAARCCCGGCTACCGGCTTGCTAATGGAGGCCAGGAAGGCCCTCCCGGGTCTTTGGGGCCTATCTGAGCTTCTGTCCAGGTGCTTGGCCTTAGAAAGTCATCTYACTCCTCTGGGCTATGGTTCCTCATCTGCAAAGTGGGGGTTAATGACAGCAGCTTCCCAGAGCTGGGGGATTAAGTGACATAGGCTGCTTCTGCTCTTACGCCTACTGCCCTGGACACTCCGTCAGTGCCTAAGAAATGTCAGCTACTGCTCTTTCAAGGTCTTGTCCCCTCCACCTGGAACGTTGACCACTCTGGCCCCGACCTCTGGCTATGCTGTCCCCTTGTCCTTCAAGCTTAGTTCAGGGATCTCCATTCCTTCCCTCACTGTCCCTACTTGTACTCTTCATGGAACCTGGCGTTACATCTCATGTGGCCTTAGACACCCAGCCCTGTAGCCATGATCAGCCRAGTGGTTTCACTCGTGGAAACTGGAAACACAGAGAATTTCCTGACCGTGGCTGGAACATTGTAATGACTCAGAAAATGAGCGTGGGGTGAAGGGGGTGCAGGAGTGAGGAGAAGGACGGGGTCACAGGATCCCCAGGATGCTGCATGTTGGTAGACTGGTTAAGCCAKGAGTTTGAGGCCTGGAAGCCTGCGTGTGAACTAGGGACTGTGTCACCTTAGGCAAGCGACTTAACTGACCATTCCATCTCCCCTTCCTGAAATGCAGGATGAGGGCCACCCCTGGGTGAAGATTGAATGAGTTAATWCGGGCAAGATCTTCCAGCAATGTGGGACACACACTAAGCTTTGTTGTAATACAAATTTCCCTTTTGATATTCTCTCATTTTACAGATGAAAGCAACTGTGGGGGGTGGGGGTGACATCCCAGGCCCAGACCACATGGCTGGTCACGGTCAGACTAGGGATGTGGCTCTTGTCCTGCATTCTTCGTGTAGTACCATGGCCTCTCCTCAGCTCCCCAGGGGCCATGAAGCATTTCCCTGGGGCGTGCTCTGGTCCTACACCTGAGCCAGGTGTAACGCACAGTTGTTTGTGCTGGTTTTAGAGTCACGGGGTCCTCTCATTGTCATCACTGTCTTTGTCCTAGTGGAACATTAGTGGCAAAGCCTTGCTGAGTGCCTGCCATGCGTATCCAAGATTTGCCAGTCCCTTTTGTGTCCAGCGATGTCCCTACTGGATAGGACATCCAGTTTTGGGAAAGCACCTTAGGCTCAAGGTCAGACAGATGTGTCCCCAGCCATGACTCAACCACTTCACAGCTTCAGGTCTCTGGACTTCTCCAAATGTCTTGCTTCTCATTCACAACACAGAGGACCTAATATCTGCCCCTTAAGGTTATCCATGTCTCGAATAATCCTGAGATAGCTGCTGGCATGTTGTAGGTGCTCAATACATGATAGCTGACTGCACATCCCCTGTCTGTAAGCGGAATGTAAAACCTGCCTTCCACAGTGGTCTGATAGGAGAGGTATGGTTGGGTATAAGACAGGTGATAGTCCTGGTCCTGTTATCCAGGGTTGCTCTATTCAGTCGTTCCTTTATCCATGACTTCTCCTGGATAAAGAGCAGACACTCCTTTGCATGGCTCTCAGWCCTTTTTAGTCCAGCCCCCTTTTCCCTCTCTGCCCTCTGCTTCCACCCCCCTCACTCTGCTGTAGTTACTAGGCTTCAGTCATTCCCAGATGCCTCCTGCTTTCTTCTACCACAGGACCTTTCCACAAGWCCTCTGTCTGAAAATGCCCATGACCTTCGAATTTACCCAGTTAACACCCACTCCTTTTCAGTGTATTTATTCATTCATCATGTACTATTTGATGCAAAAACAAAAAACAAAATTGTACCACATCTCTAAGTACGTAGAAAATAATAAAATGAATATCTTAAACCAACCACTTAATTTAAAAGTTGAAGATTCGCAACAAGGCAGTCTATCAACTTCCCCATTCTACTCTTTTACCCCAGAGGTAATCGCCACCCTGAATTTTGTACTTATCATTCCTTGATTGTTAAAAGTGGTTTCATTCCATGTGGATTTATCTCTGAATACTTTGTTAACTTTCACTGTTTGGGGTCAGTTTCCTATTACTGCTGTAACAAGTCTCCACAAGTAGTGGCTTGAAACAGCACAAGTTTGTCATCTTACCGCTCCAGTGGTCAGAGTTCTCAGTGGGCTGCAGTCAAGGCGCTGGCAGAGCTGCGTCCCTTTCTGGGGGCTGTAAGGGAGGACKGGTTGCCCTTTCCACTTCCTGGAAGCTGTCTGCCTTCCTTGGCTCAATGCCAGCAGCGTAACATCCWCCCGTCTCTTTCTCTGGATCTGCAGAAACATGTTTTCTTCTCTTCCTTTGTTGTGATATCACTTTCTCCTGTATGACCCTGTGATGACCTTGGCTTCATCAAGGATGATCCCCTCTCTCAAGYTCCTTAACAGTTGCAGCTGCAGAACCTGTGAGCAGAACCTATTCATAGGTTCCAGGTATTAGGACGTTTAAGGGCATCTTTGGTGGCCGTGACTCTATGGCAGGGGCTTTGCACAGAGTTTGCTCCGGTGCACACTCTGCAACTTGCTCTGTCACTCAGTACTGCATTTCTAAGACTCACCTTTGACCATTCCCACCTTTGACCAGTCTTCCACTGGTGGGCTTCTGCTGCTTCCTCCTTCTGACCTCAGAGTAAGTGTTGCTTCCTCAGAGAAGTCTACCCCTATGCAAGGGGGTGCACCCCAGCCATGGTCCACTTAGAGCCATGAACCTGTCCTCCAGAGGTCATAGTGATAGTCCTGGTCCTGTTATCCAGGGTTGTTCTATACAGAGCTTGTAACTATACAATTCCTCTGGTGGTTTCTTTGCCTGCTGGGTCTGGAACTTCAGCAAAACCAGTGACTGGGCCTGTTTGCTTGCTCTGATGCTGGACACGGAGCAAGAGGGCTGCTGTCTTATTACCTGGCCCCAGAGGTCTGGCCCAGCGGGCCACCTCTGCATCCCTGTGTCCATGTGATCCCTTCCTTACCCTTGCCSCCTCCCAGTGTCATCTGTACGGTGACTGACCCCCTGCCTGGGCTGCCTTGTGTCTTCTGCAGGTGCAACTTACCCCCCATCTCAGAGAAGTATACTGTGGATGTGGGGGTGAAGACAGACGTCGTCACGGTGAACCCCAGCATCATCACGGAAAGGTCTGTGGCCCTTTTTCTTCTGTAGCCAACAGTCCCTGGGGTCACTGGGCACTGGGAATGTGGCTGGTCCAGACTGAGGTGTGCAGGCTGTTCCCATGAAATATACAAATATAAATCTTTGAAATGGGTTTCAAAGACTTAATGAGAACAAAAGGGTGTAATTTATCTCATTTAAAAAATATTAAATATTAATTCCATCTTGAAATGATAATTATTTCAATATATTGAGTTAAATAAAAATTAATCTCTCCCATTTCTTTCTTTTCAAGTTGTGTTTACTAGAATATTTAACATTGCTCGTGAGGCCAGCATTGGATTTCCTTTGGACAGTGTGGGCTGGTCAGCCTGCTGTCGGCTAAGGCTGTGAGGAGCCTTCCAGGGTGTGGCCAGGGCAGGCAGCGCCCTACCTGGCTGGGTCCAGGTGGCACTGGGGAAGCCAGGGCCACAGATCTCAGCTCCCTACTCAGCTGCCCCCTGGGGGTGTGCCTGGGAGGTGTCAGGGGAGGGGCCAATTTGTTGAGATCCCCAAGGCCAGGCATAGTCCCACCATCCATGTCACGTTGAAGGAGGAGGAGGAGGAGGAGGAGGAGGAGGAGGAGGAGGAGGAGGAGGAGTTGATGAATTGTATCAGGTGCCAAGAAAGGTAGCAAAGATGGTGCGGAGGAAGAGGCAGGACGGGGTGAGAGGCCACAGAGGGTGGGTTGTTCAAGGTTAAAAAAGTGTGCAAGATAGATGGGGTAAGGCTGAGGAGGGTGCTGAGCCAGGACAAGGCCCATCCTTGGGGAGGACAGTGCTGGGGAGGATGTGAGGACTCTGGACAGCCTGCATGCCCGTGTGCCAAGTGCATCTTTTTGGGTTAAGCATGGCCTCTCCCTTGGCSCCGCAACCACACACTAGATATTCACCCCTTTGGTCTGGACTGATCTCTCCTGCRCCACTTAAAGGGCACACCTTCCTCTGTAGCAGGAGAGGGGAGGGGCGTGGCCTTGTGAGTTCCTGCCCCCTCCCTTTGCAAAGCTCCCAGGAGGCAGGGGACAGGAAGCRAGGGGCACTGAGGGGCGGGGGGTGGGGTTAGGGATCCGGAGGAGCAGGCSACAGGACTCCTCTCACTCTGGGTCCCCTGGCAGGTTCCACAAGCTGGAGAAGTGGCGGCGGCCCTTCTACCGCGTGCTGCAGGTGTACGAGAACGCGTCGGTGCTGCTGCCCGCCTTCTACAACACGCGCAACACCGACGTGTCCATCCGYGTCAAGTACGTGCTGGACGACTTCGAGTCGCCGCAGGCCGTCTACTACTTCCACCCGCAGTACCTGGTCAACGTGTCGCGCTATTGGCTCAGCCTGGGGGTGCGCGCCAAGCGCATCAGCACCGGCCTGATTCTGGCCACCGCGGCGCTGGAGCTGTGCGAGGAGGTGCACCTGTTCGGCTTCTGGGCCTTCCCCATGAACCCCTCGGGCCTCTACATCACCCACCACTACTACGACAACGTCAAGCCGCGCCCCGGCTTCCACGCCATGCCCTCCGAGATCTTCAACTTCCTGCACCTGCACAGCCGCGGCATCCTCCGCGTGCACACGGGCACCTGCGGCTGCTGCTGATGCGGCCACGCCGGCTGCCCGCCCACAACCGAACCACCTCTCCTCCTCTCTCTTCTGGCGGGACTGGGGGCGCTTGGCCTGGCAGTGCAGGGACCTGGTGAGCAGGCTGTTGCTCTCTCAAGTAATTCAGCTTTGTGTTTGGGTCCTGGGGCTGGAAGTCAGGGCTGGGGTGCTCTGCAGGGTGCTTTCTGCTGGGCACAGCTCCAAATCAGGGGCCTCGGGATTGCAAGTGAATGAAACACATTTCCCCTCAATTTTAGCTTGTGAGAGAGCACAGACGGAAGTGGTCTTGTGGCTGAAGGATGACCCTAAGGACCAGAGGGAGGAAACAGGACATCTGAGCACAGTCAAGATTTCATTCAGGCCTTTGGACTCTTGACTTTTATACCCAGGACTAGCCATGGATTACCATCTCAGAGCTTAGAGGCCAACCAGTGGCCAGATCTTCCAGTGAAGAAAGAGCCGTTCAGAGCTCTTGGGGTGAGCACCCCAGCTGCACCCAGCAGAGACCTGGGTTATTATCTTCCCTGAGAGCCGGTGGCCAAAGACAGCCACACCTTTTCAAACACACCCTGGGACACACACAGTCTTGGTGCCCCTAGGTTCCATCCTGCATTTGACCTCTTGATGAGAAGGAAATAAAACTGGCCAGCCATTTGCACTAAGTTTTCCAAGCCAATGCTATCGACTCAATAAGTGCTTAGCAATTTGCTTCCTCTTCTGTCTCCCTATTTTCAGCTCCATTTTATCCAGGAGTTATTTATAAAGATGCGTTCCTCTTGATGTTCCTGAATACTGCAGAATCCTGCTATACTGTGTTCCTGAATGGGGACAATCAGCTGGAAAATGCTGCCTTGTCACATGAGCTTAGTGACTGGAAGCAAGCAAGGGGGGGCCTCAGACACCAGCATCCCTGAGGTTTCTGCCACAAGGCGGGGACCCCCCTGCAGTGTGGGCCTGATGTCTTCACCACAGGGACTCCTGGGGCCTGGGCTTCTGAGAATCAGCTGTGCCTAGCCTGAGAGGGGTCCCTTGTCATTTCACATCGGAAATCCTTCCCTCTGCTTTCTCCTCCCCTTCCCTCTGCTTTCTCCTCCCCGCCAGGGGGTTCCACCATGAATGTGATGGTGCCTAACAGACTCAGCTGGTGAATTGCCTTAGAGCATAGCTGTGTAGAAGCAAAGATGTTAGTGTCGGGAGGCTTCAGCCTGCCCATCCATCTCCTCCTTTCCCTCTCTCGCCCTCCCTTTCCCTTCTGTCCTTTCTTTCCTCTTCCCTTCTTCCTTTTTTCCCTCCCTCCCTCAGACATTTCTGGAGAAGAACCTGTTCTGGTCTTTGGTTGACCTTGGGCAGACTAGGGGTGGGGGGTAGGGGGTGGTGACAAAGGCACCATCCCTGTTTCTGAAGGTGGAGAAGGATTACACACATACTGCAGTCCCACATGTGAGCACAGCAGGGAGGGGACCCCCCACCTGACCACCTCATTCTTCAGGCAGAGCTGCAGGGCAACCTGAGAGACAGAAAACACGGACCTGGAAGGATCTCAAAGTCCATTTGTCTCATTTAAGGAAACAAACCCAGAATAGGGAAGTGGCCTGGGTCAAGTCATGCTTGGGGCTCTACCAAGGCCTGCTGAGGACAAAGCCCTCTCTGGGGGCCGTCTGGGCAGGAGGTGGGCGTGGATAGGGCCAGAGCCTTGGTTGGTGGGATACCAGGATCCCCACAGACAAGGATGTTGGGATTGAAATTTGCGCCAGCCAGGGTCCTCATAGGACCTGGGGATGAAGCATCCTGGTCCATCCCATGTTGGAGTTAGGACACTGGGCTTATGGCTGCACTTTCTGCCTGTGGATCTTAGGACAAGTCCCTGCTCCCTTCAGGATCTTGGTTTCCTCATCTCTGCCAGGAGAGGTTTAGAAAATATATCTGAGGTCTCTACAATCTCCATTTCTTCCTTTGGAACCAGGGATTGAACCTAGGGTGCTTTACCACTGAGCTATATCCCCAGCTCTTTGTATTTATTTATTTTTTTTAATTTTGAGATAGGGTTTTACAAAGTTGCTTAGGGCCTTGCTAAGTGGCGGAGACTAGCTTTGAACTCCCGATCCTCCTGCATCAGTCTCCTGAGTGGCTGGGATTATAGGTGTGTGCCACTGCACCCAGCACAATCTCCGTTTTTTTTGAGGTGTTCGTGATGTATGGATCTAAGCCATAAATATTTACTTTTATAATAGTTAAGACTGACCACACTGTCATCGTGTGCCAGGCACTATGCTAAGCCCTTTCCCTGCATGATCTCCTATGGTCATCACAAGACCCCTCAGGTGGGGAGGCTCCCATGATGCAGGAGAGGAGACTGAAGGTCAGGGTGACTTGGAAACTTGCTCACAGTCAGATTCCCAGTGGAGGCACTGCACCTAGGTCTGTGGAGCCCCAAATCCTGCCTTAGTTCCCCAGCTACTGTCACCAGGGCTTGAACATGAGGGCTCCAGACCAAGATGCCACTGCAGGGTGGTGCTAGGCCCTGTTCTAGGGTCAGATGCTCTGGGAGGCTGTCCTGGGTCTAGGCACAGCCTCTGTTTGTGTGTGCCTCTCCCCAGCCCTGCCACCTGCAGCAGTACTAAGCCACTTTCAGTAGCCTTGAGGGTAACTAAGGTGGTCTCCATGTTTTTTAGGTGAGAAAAGATTGCCCAGAAAGCATACACATTAAGTGACAACATGATTGACTTGCCTAGGGCCACATGGCCAGCTAGAGGTTCAGCTGGGACTCTCCCCAGCCTCCTGACTTACCACCTTCTCTCTCCTGCAGCCAGTGTTTGTAGGAAAATACATTATTTCAAAGGTGAGAGACCTGGGCATTGACTCTGGACGCCCTCTGCCACATTCCTGTACAGCCCTGTCACAATGCAGTACAGACTACCAGTTCAATTTATATTTAAGTGACATTGATTTCCCCTGGACAAAACAACCACCCAGTCTTCCTTTGTGCTCAATCTACTGCTCCGGGCTTGAAAGGCAGCAAAACCAGCTCATGGCTCGGTGCTTAGCCAGGCAGAAAGGAAGGTGACCCAAGGTCAGGCAGGCCTCTGGGACCAAGTCGGTGATGCGGCAGCAGCAACTCTGCTCACTAATCGGCTGGTGCTGCAGCGGGCAGAGCAGCTTGGCATTGTCCTGACTGCTGAGAGTTGGGGTAAAGCAGAGAAGTGCTTCCTGACCCCAGAGGGAAAGTAGAGCGTGCCCCAGCCTGGCAATCTCTGTGTCTTCCTTGAGTGCTTATTTTGTGCCAGGCCTTGAGCAAAGTGTAGACCTTGTTCTCCCGGTGTCACAGTCTGGTGTGCATGCACAGCCGTGGAGTGAAGCATCCCACAAACACTTAGAAGCTCACTGTGTAGAGTGCTGTGAAATCCAGGTTCAGAGACAATCGCCTGGTGTGTGCGTGCAGAAGTTAACTCTGAATCCCGGAGGTTGCAGCACAAAGATTGTCATTATCAAATAGGGCCTGTATCTCAGGTCTCCTTGACAGCAGCATGACATTTGATGCACTTGGCCCTTCTGGTCTTCCCGGAGCTGTCTGTGTTTCCTAACAAACCATTCTTCCCTGATGTGCCTCCTGCCTCTCTGAATGCTCCTCCTCAAGCTTCTTCGTGAATCCTCTTCTGTGAAGTTTCCTCAGGGTTCTCTGCTCTTACTAGGAGCGCTCCTGCAGAAATCTCATCTCCTCGCAGCCTCCAGTTCTCCTGTCCTCACTTCTTACCCCATCCCTGCAGGCCCATCCTCCCTGGGAGCGTCAGAAGCATTCCCCTGGGGCCCCCTGAGTGTCCACACCTCAGCAGCTTCTCAGACCCCAACCTGTCCTTGACTGGTATAGTTAAAAGAACCATCTGGAATCAGAGTCTCTTTCCATTGCTTAGTAGCTATGTGACCTGGGGGAGTTCCAGAAGCCCCTGGAGCTCTGATTCATCATCTGAAACATGAGAACCAGACTCCAACCTGATCAGCTATTGCCAAGATCAAGTGCCACTGTGTTGGGCCATGCCTAGTTCAAGGCCTCACAAACTGGACTCTCAGTAGGCACAGGTCCCTCTGCCCCAAATCTGGCTCCACTTCGACTCTTCCTTCTTTAGTCTCTGTTTATTAGTTCACTAAATCTTGTCAATTACAGCTTGGAAAAACCCCTAGAGTTCATTCCCTCCCTGTAGACCGGCTCTTGTCCTCATTTAGACCCTTCTGGCTGATCTTTTTGCTGTCAGAGAATTACCATCTGAAAACACCTTTTGTGGGGCCCATTGCCTACCTGTACTGTGAAGTCCAGGTTCTTTACCAAGTCATGCAGGCCGCATCCCAAACTGGCTCCCTCACCTTCCCAGAGATCCACCTGTTACCCTTCTTCCCAATGATCCTCCAGGCACTGTGCCTTTGCACATGAAGATCCAAATGCCTGGAACCACGCCATGCTCCTTCCTCCGGCTTCCTTCTTTTGATCTGGCCACTTTTCCAGATGAGGTCCAATTATGGCCCCTGCCAACTCTCTATGGTCCTGGACCGGGCACTCTCTCCTCTGTGCTTCTGCTGTGATCAGTGCTGACTCTGTTAGGACACCCTCACAACACACAGCCCCAGTGTCCGTGTCCTCGGTGGAAGGTCTGTTTTTCCCTAAGGGAAGACCCAGTATCTGGCCCATCTTTGTGCCCCTCACACTGGCACAGAGCCAGCTAGGGCTGTTCAGCACATGCTCACTCCAGTAAGGAGGTCCTGGTTACCTCTCAAGCTCCAGCAGTGCAGGACACCCTGTTAATAAACCGACTAACACCATGGAGGAGTCAGAGCTGAGCACAGTTCTCTGCTCGTCATTTTTTGCCTAGTACCTTCTAGGAAGGCGCAGACTCCCCTGCCCATCCTGGGGAGCTTGGGACCCAAGAGCTGAACATCAATGGAGCCGGGGGGTGGGGGGTCTGTTGGGTCCAGCACCTCGTTTCTGCTTTCCTTTTTTTATTTTTTAAATTTTTCTTCATCATCATAATCTTGCTCATCTGCTTCTTGGTTGCTGACCAATCTCTTTCTCTAGCTTAAGAAAAAGAAGGGAAAGGCATGTTCTATTTTTCTTTCTTTCCCTTTGTCCTTTTCTCACTCCCCTTGAGATAAGTCAGGATCTTGTGTTTCTGCAGCTGAAGGGCAGGGTCGGATGTAGAATACAAAGGATTTATCAACAGTGTTTCAAAAACTAGACTCAATGCTTTGTTTTTGGCTGAGAAACAGATGAGCTGAGCTTTTCAGAATGTCTGCTCCAGTGGAAGGCCAGGGGCTCATTCCCTGGGGGCTGTAGGTAGAGACGTCATTCTGAGTTCAACACATGCCCTGCTCCCATCCCTCTGCAGCAAGGGAGCCTGGTTGTGACTCTGGGCCAGGTGAGGCCAGGCTAGGGGTATGTGAATGGCCAGGGTGTGCTTTCTGCTATTCTTGAGTGGTCTCATCCAAAGAGGCCAATCTGTGGAGATGGATTACATCTAAGACATTCCAGCAAGGCGGTGTGCTCCTCAAAGTCATGTAGATCTCCTGCATCACGACCTGGGCGCTTGTTAAAATGGTGAACTGAGAATCTGGAGAGGGTGTGACACCAGGCAATCAGCATGAGCGACATGTCCAGGGGGCCTTGAGCACACTCCTGTTGTGGTTCTGTGGCTGCTGCCATCGACTAGCAAAGTCTGGCCTAAATTCCAGAGTGGAATCTTGAGAAGAAGATGGAAACAAGAATTTGGCACACAAGGCCACTTCTACCTTTTTATATTTAAATATAAAATATAACCTGCAATTAACCTAGCAACAAAAATCAAATGCTTGGCGACCTATAACATTGACAAAATCTGTTTTGTCTCAACACATAGATTTCTTTCTCTTTTTAATTTTTTTTTTAAAGAGAGAGTGAGAGAGGGGAGAGAGAGAGAGAGAGAGAATTTTTTTTTTAAATATTTATTTTTTAGTTCTCGGCGGACATAACATCTTTGTTGGTATGTGGTGCTGAGGATCGAACCCGGGCCGCACGCATGCTAGGCGTGCGCGCTACCGCTTGAGCC